GAGCTGCTGCTTCTGTGACTTTGTGAGATTCTCTGTGAGTTGAACTTACAGAGTCCAGGCTCATCTATGAGCTCCAGGGAAGTCCAAAAATTAAATAATGTAGTGTGGCTTTCACGCTGGAGAGGCAACTCCAGGCAATGGGCCACAACTTGACTTTTATTAAGAAAGGAGTACAGCAACCTGTGGTTTTTTCAAGAGTTGTTTTTCCCCCCTTCATTTTACCTTGAGTCTACTTTAATTGCATGCTAGAAAGTAATTAAAAATAGAGGTCTTCAGCTCCTTTGATGCACGAGTCTCAGAAGGGAGTATGTGGGTCAGGGGAGTGCTGGCCGTGGCGTCTCATCAATCTGTGACAAAACAAATTATTGCTCTGCTTGTGAAAGCAAAGTATAATGAGGTTTGACACAGTGAAAACTGAAGCTCGTTCTGCAACTGAAATTTTACATAGACAGTTGGTCTGTAACACCCCAAGAGGTGCTTGTGCAGCTCTTCAATACTACGAGGTTTCTTGATAGATGCTTAAGCAAGCAGGCTTGCAGTGTCTGACAGCACAAGGGTGTCGGGGAAGCAGGAGGCTGATCCAGAGCCTTTTCTCTTGTAAATGCTCACAGACTTAAACAGCAGAACAACAAACTAGGATGCAGTGACTCTGGAATGACACAGAGCTGGGTGGCGGAGTCGAGGGGATTGTGAGTTGAGGCAGAGATGGGCTGCAGAGCTCTGCACAAAACCATCATGGGACACCACTCTGTAATAGGTGTCTATCTTTCCAAAGACAGTCTGTCAAAACCGGCAAGCTGGAGCGAAACGTGAAGGGAGAGCTGTAACTTCTGCATGTAATGGAAGTCCAGAATCTAAATGAAAATATTTTGTGTCAGTCCCAAGAAACGTTTCTTAGAAAGAGGAGTGCTACTGATTTTATCACGTGCAGAAGCAGGCAGTGTTTTACTCTGTCCTTCCCATTTCTGGTTGGTGGATTTGGCTCCTGCATGTGGGAAACATCTTTTTTTTTTCCTGAAAATGCAGAGAGGATGTTAAATGTGTGGTCAGTAAAACATAAATCCATGCCCAAGCTTATAGCCAACTACTGCTGGCTGGATGAGCACATCTGCAGCCCCAGCAGGAGAGGAGCCTGCTGCTAAGCCTGTGCTGGAAGAGCAGCCGTGTCCTGGCTGCCTGCAGGGCACCAAAGGGCAGCTGGAGCCACGCAGAGGAGCAGCTGCTGCACAGTGGCTGGATGGCAGTGTGCAGTGCAGCAGGAACAGCCCTTCCACAGCTGGATGTGCCGCTGGATGAACAGCCTGCATTCTTGGGGAGGTGCTGGGGAGATTCATAGAGGAGCAACAGCCTTTCCTGATGGGAGCAGAGCTGAGCTCTGACCCATCTTTTTATATCCACACTAGGGGAAGATCTGGTTGGCAAATATGTGGCTGTGTGCTGTGTCTTCTCCTCAAGGCAGAGAATGGCACCTGCAAGAACTACAAGCATCTTGAAGCTTCGGTAGCCATGGATTTTGTTGAACTATGCTAAGGCAAGGATGGTTTCAACTCCTTGAGCTGTGGGATGTGCTCCCTCTGCAAAGCTGTGAGACTCAAACCGTACTTACAGTGGGAAATACGGAGCGAATGCTCATGAAATATCTGAGGATTTTCAAAAGGACAAAACAAGCGTGTTGTGATACTGAAAAAGTGGATAATCTCTTTGTGTCTTGCAGCGTCAAATGTTGTGATGCAATCTGCTGTGTAAGAGACCCCAGGAGCACGGCAGCGGGTGTCCTTTAGCAGATGGGAGCTTTCAGGGAGCTGTTCTTGTGCAACATGGAGGGCTTTGCTGATGGCTGTGAGATGTGCACCATGGGCACATGCCAGGCTCATCTCCCAACGTCGCAGAACCACAGCAGGGGAAGTCTCAGCCATCGCTACACTGATTCCAAACCTTACGAGGTCACTTTTGCTCCTTTGCCACCCCCACACAGCAACTGAAGGATGTTCTTAGGATGCCTGAATAAATGACAGACTTGTTTGCAGCTTGTCCCATAAACTGCCCTCACATCCTTGCTGTGTAGCATGAAGACATTCTTAGTGCTGCTCTCTGTTCTCCACGACTAACCTTGGTAATCTCTAAGCAGCTGCTTAAAGTTTGTACCGAGAGTCTCTTAAACGCTGTCTTTAATGGAAATAAAAATTTCTTCTGCTTTTGCAACCCAGGTGCCCCATCTGTGAGGACATGGCTTAGCTGGGAAACTACTTTGTCTGTCATGCTTCTCTGCTCTACCTGCTGATGTTCACAGAAAAAAATGGAAGGGATAGCATCTGCACGATGCTTTGAATTTGCCTGCCTGGAAAACTCCTTCCTATCGTTTATTAAATGAGTAGCAATGTTTCTACATCTTTGGCAGACCCAGAAATGTTAATTCAGATTGCAGTACAGCCGTGAGGCTCTGCATTAGCAGCTTCCCTCAGCAGTGGATTTGCAGTCAGACTGTAAAACTGTATCCAGAATGGCTCTCATCCGAAGGAAGGAGCAAACAGCTGACTTACAGCGCTTCCAAACCAGGTAAATAAATAAATATATGGAAAAAAAGAAAGGCAATCCAGCCAGTCTGACTGCTTCTGTGGTGCAGATTTGTAGCTCCCTGGGCAGCAGCAGTATAGCTGGTCAAAGTGTAATTAGAGCTAAAATGCAGTGTTTTGTTCAGATAAATGAAATGCTTTGGAAAAGAAACATTTGCCAAACTCTCCTGTGCAGAAACTCTTTTTCAAAACTGAGTTTTAGTTAATTAGCACTTATTCCAGACAGCCAAGCTTTCTTCCTAGGTGAGATGCTCAACAAGAGTTACTAGCCTCCGAGGAGGACAGAATGAGGATTGTGTTATCTGATACAGAATGTTTCATCTCTTAAAGCTGTTTCAAATTACCGTTTTCCATATAAACAACATGTCAGCTGTTGCTTTGCCTTTGTGATTAACCTGTGTGTCTCTTTGTCCCGTAGCATAAAAACAATTCTGTTGGTCACTGGGTAGATGCACTGTATGGCAGTGACAAGAAACACTGGTGACAAAGCAGAAGGCAAGTGGCACAGTAAATAATAAGACTGGACTATGCTCATGCCTGCTAGTCTCAATGAAACAGCCCCCAGCTTTTTTCCTTGCCAGTAGATTGTTTTTAATCTAATGGCTCAGTTAAGCACTATAAACAAATAAAAGAAGAAAAGTTAAATTGCAGTCCATAAATACAATATTTGGATATGCTTAATAATGCTGAAATGCTTGTCGTTCTCTCCTGATCTCACTTTGTGCTTGTTGCCCCTAACTCAGAGCGCTGGGGAGCTGTTTGGGACCAGGGCTGTGACAGCACAAGGGCAGCTCTGGCCTCAAAGCCTGGGCCTTGGAAGAAATGGAGGTGTTGGGGGTTTTGTAGTTAAATACAGTGTGAGTAACAAACAGTTGCCTTCATTGTTTTCTTGATGAAATGAGTCCTGCTGAGCTGCCTCCGGGCAGCAGATGGTGAGGATCCCACCTGTGTGTTGGTTGGGTCTGCAGCTGGTTGGGAGGCACTTTGCTGTTGTGCCGTGGGATCCATTGCAGGAGTTCTCAGACATGCAGAAAGGTACCAAATTTGAAGGCTTGCCAATGGTTTCCATTAATCCTGGTGCAGGAGGTGGATCCCTTGCAGCAAAAAGCTCCAGCTCTGTTCAGAAAAGCTCCCAAAGTGTCTACTTAGACATTTGCTGATTTTGAGCTGAAAATTCAAACAGCCTTTTCGAGACTGCTCGATAACCTTCTACTTTCCTTTTATTTTTGGCTGTTAGCAAAGAGTCTTTCTTCATAGACACACTTCAAAATGAGAAAGGAATACGCTGGTATTTCCTGTCTGTACTCAAGACAGACTTCCAGCTCATGGTCCCTCTGCTGCTTCTCAGTGACTGATCTGCCAAAGTAGCCCATCTTATTCAGTCAGCTGAGATAAAGCCAAGGGGAGAAATAAAAACAGGAGCTTTCAAACTCCCTGTTTTGGTCTGCTAAGCGTTTGAAGTCCTGTGAACCACAAAAAAGTAAATGCTGATTTCGTGTTGTATTTCATATACTTGATTTCCACTGTCCAAGACCAGTGATAGAATTTCCAAGCAAAAACTCTGGCTGCCCACCAAGTGGGCTTTGCTTGACAGTCAGCTTGTCTGAGACGTGCTTGTTGTTTGGGCTTTGCAGTTCCCTGAACTGTACATCAGCTGTGGTGCTGGCAAGCCTGGGATACTGACTGGTGACTGATGAAGCAGCAAAGGTAATAGCCAAGGCAGTTGGCAGAATTGTAGGGTGGCAAAGCATTTATGATTTAAAATGACAAAATGCATAAAGTACCTATGGTTTTGCATAGATGCTGAAAGAACAGAAAACATAAATCAGAGCATCTGGCACTCAGGACTTTTTGTGCAGCCTTAGCCAGCAGTTTGTAGGAAATTGAAACATGATAATTACCATCTCTCGGTGGTTGTTAGGAGCAATCATTGTGAAATACTTGTAAACACCGAACTGGAATCTCTGGAAACAGCAGCATATGCAGAATTGGCAGAAAATCACCACGCTCTGGGGATTGGAGTAACTGGAAGGAGAGCACAGTGAGCCTGGAAGGACTCATGGATCTGTAGGATAAGAAGTGGCTGATGCAGGGCTGCTGGCTACCTGTGCCAGCTGCTGACAGTGCTGCTGGAGATTGGCAGCACATGGAGCTGTCTCGTTTCTTGCACTCTGTGGGCTCTGGTGGGGCTGAGTGCCGTGATGCTGTTCCCAAATTGCTTGTTGCTGCCCCTTCCTCATCCCTCAGGAAGCCTAGTTGTTAGGAGGCTCTAAAGACATATTAGCAACTCCTATTTTTTCATAAGCATTAACGAGTTAGGCACAGAGAGGGCTTCTGTATGGGAACTGTTGAGTCCCAGCCTCAATCACTGAGCACCTGGGGAAAGGACTGGGTCAGCCCTGGGAGCACAGGTGAAGGCAGTTCAGCTGTGTGACAGGAAGGAGTGGAGCCTGGCTGCACCTCTCTTAGACCTCATTGAAGGGCTGAGCCCCACTGGGGAAGGAACTCTGGTTGGAGATGCTTCTTTGGTGAAGCTTTCCCCTGTGAACCTGGAATCTTCTGCTATGGGTAAGCAATCTTCTTTGCTTCCTTTATACCACTTTTCTATTGTGTTGATCCTTTGTCTTTATGCTTCTGGTGAAACACCTTTTCTCATCATATTAATCTGTCCAATTGCTACAGCTTCTATGAACAGGCATCTTATTTTGTACTTTATAACTTAGTCTCAATTTTTAACTCTTCACCTGTGCATATCTTTTCTTCTCTATTTGTATATCTTCATACCATCTTTATTTTTCCTAGTCATTTGTAAGTATCAGTTTTCAGATCAAAGAGGAAAGCATCATTCGTGGGAGCCTTTATTAAGCTCTGCTTTTCTGTTTTTCTTTTCCCATCGTGCAACTTATGAAATGTTGGAAAGAAAACTTGAATGCTGCTCAACTCAGGCTGAGAAGAAATATTTGTTTTGTTAGCTACTTGTTAGGCTAATGAGATTACACCTGTATTGTGGAGGAAATGGACACCCCTGGGCTTCTCAACTGGCTGTGTCATAGGCTATGATAAATGCAAAGCTTGTTTCTATCCAAGTACCATTTTGAGAGCCTCCTGCCTCACAGTACTGATTGTGAATCCAGTGTATGGATGCTGGGTAGGCTGAATTCAGTTGCTGCAGATTCAACTCTTTCAGATTGGAGCCGTAAGGAGCTCAGGTAACACGATTGAGGAGAGGCTGTGAGACAAGGATATGGTCTTTTGTGGTAGCTAAGTAGGCGTGAGAGCACAAACCTGGGGTTTGCTCTCTTGTGGAGTTGTGGCAGGTAAGTAGCATAGCTGAAGAAAGAGATCTCATTTGATATTCTTAAAGATGACAATCATGACTGAATCTGGTGAAAGGGCCATGTCTCCTTCCTGGCTCCTTCCTGCATGTTGTGTCACAGTGAGAACCTTTCCTCCAGACCTAAAAATGCTTCTCAGAATCATGAAATAATTACCTTATCTCTAAATGTTCTGTGTTGCAGTTCTGAGGAAAGTTCTTTAAAGTATCATGAAAGCAACAGGGCTCAAGCTGATGCTTGCAGCTGGAGTCCCTAACACGAAGCCACAAGCTCACATAGAAGTGAGGAGAACCAAGCTTTCATCCTGCAGTTTCTTATTTTGGGAGCAGAAGCAGTTAATATCCAGTTTCTTAAGCCTTACTTCAGTAGCTGTTGCTGCCTAGGAGTTAACTGCCCGCTTGTTCAGTGGCCAGCTGAGAGGCAGGAATCTCCAGAGGCTGCTTTGTTCTGCCTCGTTAGGCACCCACCATTAAGTGAGCCAGGAGCAGACCCATTCATCACATTTGCTGAATCAAGCTGGTGGTATCACAAGATTTGACTTAGTAAACAGTCATGTGGATAACATCTGAGGGAGAACATTGCATTTAATTTGACTCAAAAGTAGGAAAAAAATTCTTTTTGGAAGGACTTCAAGCCTTAGCTTTTGTAAACAAGCTTAATATTGGATCATCATTTTGTTTAGCTTCAAGTGAAAACGAAAATTAAATCCCAGTTGTCTCTTCCATGGCAGGTTCTGTTGAAAACAGATAAGATGGGAATTTCTTTTCAAACACTGATGAAAAGCTTTTTGAATTTCCAGATTCATTGGACTTGCTTGTCTCTGTGCTTTTTGTATTTTCTTTGTTTGCTTCTCCAATCAGCCTGGCTGAACGCTTACTGACAAGGCAGGGTAGTGTTGTAGAGGCCATCAGAGCCAAGGGCTGTAGGCAGGGGATGTTTTATTCAGCACCAGGCTTCTCCCTGCTTGATTGCATGTAGCACGGGCTCTGGACAGTGCTGCTGACAGTAGTCAGCAAAACATTACAATTTAAGGCCAAAGGGTGGAGTGCTGTACTTCTGGAAAAGGATCTAGAACTCTCATTGATATGGACAAACACCAGCTGAGGTGTTATTGTTCCCAAAGCAAGTGAAGTGCCTAATTTGGGTGGATTTTCCTGAATATGGCAGAAAATGAGCTTGCTTTGATGTCACAAGGTGCCAGAGCTTTGAGCTGTGTTCTGAACTGCAGGGTGGGAGAGACAGGTAAGGCTGAGATTGGAGGCATTTTTACTGTGGGCAAAGCAATGCTCTGGTTCTTCATTTTAATTCAGAAGCAACTGTATTGCCTTAGTTGAAATTAAAATAAAACAGATGAAAGAAATTGCTCCAGGCATTACACCCAGAGTGTAAACTTTCAGCCTGGCAGTGGTATAAATAACTGATGGAGAGCCTTGCACTGGAAAGGGTTGGGCAATGATAGCTCTGATTTTTTCAGGTATGTTTAAGTGGATATGTTTAATGCCCATTGTTTTCCCGAGTTTGTTGCTTGCAGCTGGCATTCTTTATACAGGAACAAGTACTGAAGCACTTTGTTTGTTGGAAAAAATTGAAGTTCTCTATGCTGACAGTTGTGCAACTTGGCATATGTTAGCCAGAAATGTTAGAGCAACTGATTCTGCTGAGTATACTTCTAAGTTTACTCTGATTTCTGTATTTCATAGAGAATTCTGTTTGTATTTTGAATTATTGTGGACTTTTTGCTTCTTCCCACACTGTTCCCATAGCTTCCATGCAGCTACCAGAAGGTGCTGGTTGCTCTCGTGGCCGTGTCTGATTTTGCTTCCAGTGGCTGTTGTCAAAAGCCAAGTGCAGGAACTCACCCTTGGTTTTCAGTGGCAGAATGGCATTCTGCACATGGCAGCACGTCCCCAGAGCAGCACTGGATCCCACTGCTGTCATGAAGCCACATGGTGCTGAGCAGCCCCAGCACCACCAGCCTGTCAGTGCTGCTCTGGCACAAAGCTGGGGCTTCCAGCATCACTCTGTGCAAATCTTTGTCACTGAGAAATAGTGGAGGGAACTTTGTACTTGTCTGTTCTACTTGAACTGGCTCTCAGCTCTGTTAGACTGTAGGAATGAGTGTTCCCTCCTTCCAGCAGATGACACAGCAGTCACAGCATTGTGAGAAATTATGCAGTTCCTGCAGGATGCATGGAGTTGGCTGTGTAACTTTATGCAATGAAAACATGAAGTTGCTCTTTGGTAAATCTGTTGAATGCTTCTTTTTTTTTTTTTTTTTCCAGAGCTCAGACAAAGCAATTGTCTTCCATGCAAAGATGCAAAGTCCCTCATGGTGCTGTCACGTCCCCTCTCCTTGTGCTGCAGGGTAGGAAGCTGCAGGGAAGTGTGGCTGCACTGATCCATCGATATAGCATCTAGATTTAACCTCCATTGAAGCAGCTGTGATGGCTCTGCAGATTACTTCATCAGCATCAGAAATTGGGGCTTCAGTGAGTGTGACCTCATTGCCTCAGGTGAATGGAAGGAGCAGCAGAAAGCAACACATTCACACTGTTAATGGCTTTCATGGTGTGCACCATGTGGTGCTTTGGCAGTGCATTGTGTGAGATGCTCAAGCTGGCAGCTGCTGCCTGGGGTCCAGTCCTGGCACTGGGCTAGATGGTGGCGATCTGGCTGGCTGAGGTGAAAGCAGTGCCAAATCTTTGATGTAGGGAAGGTCAGAATTCGAAGCAAGCAGATGGCCAATCAAAATGTGTCAGCTGAGGCCCTTCGGCCCTAATTTGCCTTTTCCTACATGTGTCTGTGCCCCAGGTTGTCATCCCTTCAAAGCTGGCTGCTGAGAACCCCTCTTTTCCCATTCTGTAGAAATCTGTGAGATGGATAAGTGAAGGATGAGATTTTGTCTGAGACACAAGGAAAGGAAATCTTCTACATCATTGGTTATTGTTAATTGACTTTAGTGCAATGCTTGCTGATGGTGTTTTCTAAAAACTGTGGTTTGATGTTGGAAAACAGCGTTATTTCTAATTATTAGGATTGCATGATCAGGCTGTTCACGTTTATTTGGACCTTCCTGCTTTTTCTTGCTTCATTTACAAAGAGAAGCTGTGCACAGCAAAAGGGACAAGCAGAACACAAATGGGATGTTTGTTTGGATGAGGCAGGGTTAATAACCCAGCTCGTGGAGTGAACAAAAGCAACTGGGTTTTTGATCTAGCCATGGATGATGCAGAGGATGTTACTACTCCAAATTCAGTCACCATGGAAACAAAACTTCTCTTTAAGCATGCTGTATCTTTGAGCAAGGGGGCTTCTTTTTGGCAGACATGTTTCTGTACCCTTTGTGGATGGTTTGCAGATGATGAATACTTCTGGAACGAGCTGCTTTCTTCTCTCTCCTCTGAAATGCAATAAGTTTCTACTGTGCCAAACACCACGTTCCCCCTTGAAACAAAGGTTCCACTTTTCAACAGGATTCTAAAAATCTCGGATGTCTCTTTTCCTCTGAAGACGTCTAAAAATCAAAAGTGCACGTGGTGCATTGGTAAGAATTTCTATAAAAAGGTGCTCCGACTCTCAGAGGTAGCACAAGTACCAAGTGATGTGGAAATTGCTATGGTAACTACTGTTTCTACATTCCAGAGTAAAAAGTCACACAAAACCTGCACAGCTGTTTAGGTGAGGTGAAAGCTCGCCGAGGGCAGAGCTTGCACGCTCCTTCTCTCTGCAGCCCGTTGTTCCTCTGGTGGCTTTCCCATCCAGGAGCGTGCTGTGGGTGCTGGGTGCGTGGCAGTGCTGGGTGGTGACCTGCAGCTCTTGGTGCTCCTGGTGTGAGGGCTGCTGTGAGCCACCGGCTGCATAACGAGTGTGAACAAAACAAATGAGCAACGCTGAGCACTGCGTGCCTGGTAATATGCCATGTTACATATATCAGAGCCCCTGTTTTCCCTCTCCAGATGATTTATGAACTGCTAATCTGCATCTCGTGTGAAGAGAATATCTTAATTGTTAATGTGGGTAACCACTGAGATATGCAGTCCCATCCTTCATGACATAGTTGTGGTTCCTGTAAGGGTGGCATTGCTGCCCAATAAACTTCTGTGACGTCGTGCATTGTCTGCTGGTTTATTTTTTTATGTCTTTATTTTTTATTTCCCCATTGAAATGGGGATGTGCTGTAATGGGAGTATCTATTTCTAGATGGGTTGCCACCACTTGGTGGCAGCTATGAATGCAGCAAGGAGCATCCCAAAACCTTGTGAAGAAGTGCCTGTCTTACATGGAGCTTGCACTGCAGCAGCTTTTGTTCAACCCAGTATCCCTGCTCTTGAAGAGGAAAGAGTGACCATCAGGATACTGAAGGATGGGTTTATTCACTGGATTTTTTTTTTTTTTTTAACCATTCCCAAGGTTTGTTAATGGTCACACAGTCATGAAGACATTATAGCTGACTGTGGTAAATGAGTAGCCAGAAGGCTGAAGGAAGGCACAGAAGGATTTTAATTGTTTCCCAGTGATGAGTAGGACCATTTCTGGATGGTTTTTTTTCTAAATACTGTGTGGAAAGTTAGAAGGAAGAGAACCTGCTCTTGCTTGATGCAAACAGGTCTTGCATCACAGAGCGTGTGAGAGGAGGATCAGTGCTGGTTTTTGAAATGTCCATTTGGGAAACCCTTTCTCTAGGCTTCTGTGATGCTTTTGTGGTGGTGATAATGCAGGAAACACAGCTGGTAGATTTCAGTGGGTCCCTTGCAGCAGGCTCTGGGCAGACTTGTTCTCTTGTGTCATTTGTTTTGGAAGAGCCCATTCAGCAACTTTTCTCATCTGGTTAGTGCACTAAACAATAACTACTAATAATAACTAACAATACTAAAACCCCTGCTGTTAGCATGGTTATAAGTTGCCACGTGTATGCATGCTGCACCTCATCCAGAGAATTATTCATGTCTGTTACCAGCTTAAAGCTCTGCGAACAACCTCTGCTAACAAGCTGCACTTGTAACGTGTGACATTCTGACTTTTTGTACCGGGATTTTCAGACAGTTCTGCAAGCTGAGGACTGGGTGCTTCACAAAGGATGAGAGGCTTGGGGTCGCTGACCTCATCACCCACTGTGAATACTTGATATCAGCTTTGCAGCAGGATGCTGGAGGACTTCAGGTCTGGCTGGAAGGTCAGCGTCTGAGGAGGCTTAGGGCAGCACTGGTGGTGACAAGGCCCTGCTCTGAACAAACACCTCTGTGGCTGTCCTTGCACAGGCCCTTTGGAAAGAAGCAGATGTTTATCAGTGCTGTCTGGATAACTGCAGGGATGAATTCTGTTCCCCAGCAAAAAGGATATCTTTTTGTATCCTGTGTCTTTTTCCAGCACAGTCATATAACAAAGCCTAAAGTAGTTCTCAGAAACTTCACTTACAGACAGCTCTTCCTTTGGGACCCTAAGAAGTTTCCACCCAGAGCTTTGACCACTCAGCACTGCTGTATTGGCACAAACTTATCACTGAATGATACTGTCCCACATGTTTGCCAGTGAAGGAATTACTCTCTGTCAGCTAAGAACTTATGCACCTTCTGGGGGCATTTGTTGTGCTTGTATTGCTGTGAGAAAGAGCTGTGCCTGTTGACAACTTCACAATGCAGGAAGTGCACAGTAAGGTTGGATGATGTCAGCAACGCATTTAGCACAGAGGGCTTTGAATGTTATGGGGAATTTAGGGGTCAATCTGTGACTTTTAGATGAGGAAATACATGTCACGTTGAGTGGACAGACAAGCTTGGAGCAGCCTGTTATTGCAGGAAAATCGAGACATGACTGCCCTAAAGAATTTCAGGAACTGTGAGAAACAACAGTGGATGAATGGATGTAACTGCCAGGCTGGCATGATTAAGGAAATAGACTCAAAAGCACTTGGTTTACATACAGAGCCCATCTAGAAATGAGAGTGATGTATGTAGAAATGGGCAGCGGTGCTTGGAGATATCACTGGAGAAACCAAAAGATTAGGAGAGGCTTTCAGCAGCTGAAATACCCAAGGTATGGAAGAAAAGGGAGGTGGGTAAAAACAGAGTGAGTAGAACTTCTGTGCAGTTTGTTTGTTGTACTCTTCACCTGTTTAACTAAAACCCTATGCTCAGTGAGCTGGTCTTAGCTGGGGATGCCTGTGCAGTCCCTTGTGGATGCTCCCTGCTAAGTTTTGGTATTTACTTGTTCTGTGTGTCTGCAGGAAGCCAAGCTGGCTGAAAGGTGAAGCCAAGACAAGTAATTCTGCATCATTCCTTCAGCTCCTTGCATGTGGGATGTGGGATGATGTGTAAAATGTACTACATTTTAGCAGTAGTAACAAGTTTGGAAATTGTCTCTCAGGATTTGAGTGGCATAGACCTACAACATTAAATCCAAAGTCCAAATTAGTCTATTTTCCAAGCTGTGGTAGTGAGAAATACAGTGTGACTGTGAGGTGGCAGAGCACAGCTGCATTAGAAGATGGCAAAAAGGCTCATGGCACCAAAAATTCCTAGAAAGCAACAGCCAGAGGCAGTCAGGAGTGTCTTGAAGTGTCATAATAGTGGGACCCCTGCTTTTACAGAGGGTTTGGATTTGATTTTTCAGGGTAGCTGGAGATGTCTTCAAGATGGCTCACTTGCTTTGTTTGCAAAACTGGGTTTGTCTGAATGGCTGTCACTTGTTAGAGTAAATATTCAAATGTGTAAAGATGCTAAGAATAAATGAGAGGAAGGCAGGCCTCAGCTCAGCCTCTTTGGCTGCAGGCAATGCAGTGCTGTAACAGTGCTGCAAGCTTTATGTCTGGAAGCCAAGGGGGCTTTCAGGAAAGTTATTGATACAATAATGTGAGGAAAACAACCATGCTCAGCAGCCTAGCTGTTTGTGTGTAGAAAATCCCATCAGCACTTAACCTGGCTTTTTTGCACTAGTTAGAAATGCTCATTGGGTGATATTATGGTGAAAGAAGTACTGCAGGGCCCAAACTGTCTCCAGAGGACAGGTGGCAAGGCACTGTGATTTTACTGCCCAGCATGGCAGTATGTAGAGCTGTTGCTGCTCTGTGTGACCCTTACAACCAGCCTGTAGTACAAACCATTTGTCTCATAGGCCAAAGGTTATACGTGAATTGAAGAGTGGATGTTGTTTTTTCTGGTACACATTACAAAGAGCTATCATTTGCAATATATTTGCACAACGCTGAGTTTGGCAATGGGAAGTAACAGGGTGTCGTGTGGAATTGATTTCCTGAAGCAGTGAAAGCACCTGGTTTCTCCAGTGTTTTTACCAGTGTTGCAGCATCCAACTGGTTTGTACAACAGCTACTGTTTGCTGCAGCTGGTAATTCAGTACACACAAAGCCAGCACCAGCCTGGCACCAGCTGGGTGCTTTCAGGACTCAGCCACAGGTGCTGGTGTAAGAAAAACCAGGGAGCCATGCTGGGGCTGCCTGAATCAGTGAGCTGGCACAGCAGATCACAGGCAAACAGGCAGAGGGAGCCCACAGCCCTGC